CCCCCTGACGCCGCCTATTGACGCCGCATTCCTTGACGCCGCGTTCCGCATACCTCCCTGACGCCGCCTATTGACGCCGCATTCCTTGACGCTGCGTTCCTGTCTGACGCCGCATACCTCCCTGACGCCGCCTATTGACGCCGCATTCCTTGACGCCGCGTTCCTGTCTGACGCCGCGTACCCCCCTGACGCCGCCTATTGACGCCGCATTCCTTGACGCCGCGTTCCTGTCTGACGCCGCATACCTCCCTGACGCCGCCTATTGACGCCGCATTCCTTGACGCCGCGTTCCTGTCTGACGTCGCATACCCCCGTGATGCCGCCTATTGACGCCGCATTCCTTGACGCCGCGTTCCTGTCTGACGCCGCATACCCCCCTGACGCCGCCTATTGACGCCGCATTCCTTGACGCCGCGTTCCTGTCTGACGCCGCATACCTCCCTGACGCCGGCTATTGACGCCACATTCCCCGCGTCAGGCCGCGTTCCCCATTGACATTGCGTGATTATATCCTTGAATCGAAATAGAAGTTGGCGGCAGCTCAGGCGCGAAGTCTGTTGGTGTATTTATAGCTTCGAAATACCCCGGGCCTCTCCTGACGTCATTCTCACCGTGTTTACAGTGACTCGGATCAACTGTTTATTGGGTTTTTTCTGAGCAAATTGTAACAATTCGTGGGTCGTCGGTTATTTTCGTTAAATCGGAAACGAAATTATGCGACGTTGTTGGAAATATGAAATTAAGTGACCTCGGGAAGGCCTAGCACCCCAACCAGCGCACGCACCCAGTTGTGGACGTGGCTTGGTTGGGGTGACCGTTGCGGTGAGCACCTGCATGTCGAGGCCGCTGTGTTTGAATCTTCTGTACTGAGAGAGATCCGGTTGCAGGCAGTGGACTGGATGCCTGGGAACAGCATTGCGTATTCTCTTTTCGATCTCTCCGATACTTGGGGTGTTGACCCTGCGCTCATGTCGTGTGGGTTGCAAGCGTTTGGCTTTGGAGGTGGTTCCAAAATCCGGCGTTTGAGCCTTCAACTGGGGCTCGGTAAACCGGGAAAAGGCGTCAGGGAAGCCTCGAACCAACGAACCGTGGCAGAACCCTATTTCGCCAAAAGAAGGTTTTTTGGCGGGGGTTGCCTTTTCCAGCTGCTCGTCGCAGTTTCCTATACTGGGGCTCGGTAAACCGGGAAAACAAGGCCAGCAGGCCCCGAACCAACCAACCTTCGCAAAACCCTATTTCGCCAAAATAGGGTTTTTTCGACGGGGGGCTGCCTTTTCCAACTGCTCGTCACAGTTTCCTTGCTTATACTGGGGCTCGGTAAGCCGGGAAAACGGCTCCAGGAGGCCCCGAACCAACCAGCCGTCGCAAAATCCCATTTCGCCAAAATAGGCTTTCTTGATGGGGGCTGCCTTTTTGAGCTGCTCATCGCAATTTCCCACATTTTAGGGCTTGGGAGGAACATTACATAGACACCCTTTCTCGAAACAAGCTCAGCATGTGGAACTGTCATCAGTCCTTATGGAGGAGCTGCCTCACCCAAACAGCTTTTGTCGTAGCACTAGTGCCTGCAAGTAGCGTGAAAAAAGATGGCAGTCGCTGGTCCATTTTCAAATGCTCGGATGTTTTGCTAAGGTAGGACTGTAGGACAAGAACGGCAGACAAACCAAAACAAACAAAACTGCAAGACTTCACCCAGCGTCTGGTCTGAGCTGTTGGAGGTAGATTGACACTCTTCAGCGATTGGACACTGTAGAGCTCAGGCTTGCCGTCGTCCTTGAGCACCAACCTCCTTGCCACGAGGTCGCATTCCACATTGAAGGTGTTGATGATCATGCCCTTGCTCTTCACGTGGACGGTGTAGGCTGTGTGAGCTATGTTAGGGACTAAGCCTATGACTTGCACATCAACCGCTTGAGTCTTGTTCACCGTGTCACTCATCTTCTTATTGTCATTGCCGATGATGTAGAGTCCCTTGTGTTTGGCGTTCTTGTAGTTCGTCATGCTATTGAAGCGCTGAAGGTGACTGTTGATTTGTCCTCCGAATTTCACGCCGTCCAGAACGAACCTTTCCCCACCATTTTCCAGTGCAATGTCTGGATTTCCCACACCCTGTCGAGATTGCTTTGTGGAAACAGGCTGGTACATCATATCTTTCAAAACCATGCAGATCGCCTGGTTGTACTGCTCCTCACTCGGAAGACCGTCCTTCGCCAACTCAGAAGTGTTTGCTTCGAAGCGCACAACCCGGGAGAAGAGCAGGTAGGGCAATGCTCGCATCAATAGGTCTGCACAGTGTTGGGGTTTTCCGGGCTCAAAGTGAACTTGTAAATTCTGCCTCTTCTTCAGATTGTGGAAGTAATACGAGGCAAGCAAAGGATTTGCCGCTCGGTATTCTGTGCCCTCAGTCATCCAATCCAACTGTTGGAACTCTCTCTCCGTACCACTGTATTTGGGAACCACGAAGCCGTGGATGGTAAGGTCTCTCCGGACATGCTGTGGCAATGTTGTTGAGGCTTTGCACAAAAGCTCTGCAAACTCTCTCGGCACGTTGCTCACGTCTTTGTACAAACCATTGACCCTCACTGCACGGCTCTGGCGCAGGTACCCCAAAATCTCAGTTTTTGCGCAATCCCAATCTCCTCCATCGTAGCTATTCCGCACAAAACCCACTGTCTGCGGGAAAGCCCAGCGGGAAATCCCACTTCTCTGCTTGCTCTGCACCCAGCGCATTGCTGCAATGAAGATGCCACGATGTCCACCGCAAAATTGTATAAAGAACTTGATGCTCTTCTGGTCCAGCCTAACACCGGCTTCCTTCAGCTGCTCCTGAAGCTCTGACGTGGAGTTCAAGGGAGGTGTCCACATGTATTTCTGGGTAATTTCACCCGGTGTGGGCACAATCAGGGTTGATGCAGTGGAAGCATCCCCTGAAGCTGAGAATAGCAGGATCTTTGGTTGATAGGCTGTACTGCTCTTGAAGAGCGCTGAGCATAGCTCTGGTGAAGAGAAGAGGGTGTGAGCCTCGTCATAGACGAGCGTCAGATTGTTGTCTCTCGCCAGCTTCAAGGCGTTCCTAAACTCCAAACCTTCTCGGGCGGTCTTCTTGCCGATCGCTTTCTCCAATGCTTCTACCGTGCCCATCTTCCAAGCAGTTGCTATTCCTGCATCGGTGAAGGGAACATTGACGTACTTCTGGGGAAACTCACATGCCAAATGTTCTACCAGCGTTGTCTTGCCTAGGCTACACCACCGCGAATGAAGACGACATCATGGTCTCCTTCAAACAACTTGTCAATTTTCTTGTCGTAGTCTGTCAGGGAGAGGAAAACGTGGTTCTGCGGATCTGCTGCCTTGCTCGGAGGTGGCAGTATCAGAGGTTTTTTAGTACTTGCATTACGGACTTCTGCTTTCAATCTCGTCGGCACTCTTCCGTCAAATGCAATGAGAGGCTGGAATGGATGGCATCCTCCACCGACAAAGGTCAAACGCTCGCGTGCACCGTCAATGAAAAGCAATGCCAAGACCAGCGCGCAGGTCTTTATCAGTTTGCACAGACCTTGCCGTCTTTGGGCAGGTCGCCTCATGATGGGGGACGCCTAACTGATGTTTCTTCTCTGAGGTTATGTCCCAAACAGTAGCGTAATACATGGCAACACTGCAACACATTGCCTTCACCTTGGTACAAACTATTGCTTGCATGGTGTGGCTGAATGTTGAAGTGATGAACATGTGCTCAAGGGGTTTGAGTGAACAACAGCGCCAATGAAACTCTCAAAGCACGTGCACAGGCTCCGACATCTCCCTACCAACCCTTGACCACATGATAAACAGCTTTGCTGGAACAACCACTATGCAGGCACTACTACTTCAACCACCACGGACACATAGCAACGCCCAAAGTCAGGGAGGCGAGCCACAACTAGCCGTCATGCCAATGAATGCTCTTTTTGCACATGTCAGGACAACCAAAGCCAAACAAGTTCTGAGCTTTGGGGCTTCTTAAGGTCATCAACCTCATTCAATGTCAAACCATGTGAGGACAATCTCGACAAGCAGGAAGAACGCGACACGGAAGAGAGAAGCATGCAAACGACAAGTTGCATGAAGCAATGCCATAGCATGACAAAGCAGCTTGGCATGGAAGGGACTGGGCATGGGTTGGATCAGAGGAAACAAGCAAAAAGCTGCAAAGTGTTGAAGCTGAAAATGGTTTTGGTTTGTGCTAGGGACTTGCAGCAGATTATGATTGAGGATAAAGTTACTTGAACCGTATATAATTAAGTAGAAACGCATTATGCCTTGCTACTTTGTAAGCAACGGACTTGACATGCCAATGACTGATGAAACCTTTGACCTCCTTTGGAACAGTTTTAGAAACACAGAGCTGACTGACAGCGAAACGCCTTCTTCGTCTGAAGAATGTGATAAAACAGGTTCATTTAATGAAAAGGCTAGAAATGCCGAATGGAGGAAACAGGATGACGGATACTACAACAGAAAACCGAACGACGAAAAGTATTTCCAAAGATATTACCAAAAGAAAACGGAACAACCGTGTGTATGCGATATACGCGGCTCTGCCATGAGCTGCAAATCAAACTTGGCAAAGCACAAGAAAACGAAGAAGTGCCAAAGGTGCTTAGTGTAAGTTCATTATGATTTTATGATGCAAGAAAATATGATAAAATTATAATCTAAGTATTTTTAATGACTAGATTCTTAGAGCGGAAAAAGAAAATGTATTGGAAAAATGTATTACGACGTGGAGGAGGGCTTCGGTTCGGTGAGAGACTTATATGAAAAAGCTAAGAAGGTTGATGTAGGCATAATTTTGGACATGGTTTCTAAATGGATGAAGTCACAACCGAACAAGCAGACTAGAAACTACAATAACTATAACTCCTACACAGCTCCGTTCCCGAAGTATGAATTTCAAATTGACTTGATGGATGTTACAAGTCTGTTGAAAGATGTAGGTAATGAAATTAAAGACCAACCAAGATATGGCTTATTATGTATTGATATATTCAGCAAAAACTGTTACATAGAACCATTGGGAAGTAAAGATGGTGATGACGTTTATAAAGCAGTCATGGGGCGTTTCAAGGTATTAGGTCAGCCTTTGTCGATATACAGCGACGACGAAGGAACGTTGAACAGCAAGAAACTGCAAACATTTCTTAAGGAGGAAGGTATAACACACGTAATAACGAAGACGCACGCAAATCAGGCAGAAAGGATGATACGCACCGTCAAACGAATGGTTGGGGACAGATTGAGGCATTGAGAGGTATAGCAACGTAGCATTTATACGGACCCAGGGTAGCTACAATTCTGTTCCCAGGTATCGCACGCATGAGGCTTCAAAGACGTCACCTCCGAAGTTCTCATAGAACTCCTGCCCGCTCACAACACAAAATCATTTGCAATATGCCGATTTGACATGACATTACAAGCACACAGTTCCGACCCATGCATCCCGTGATGAACTGATTACAAGAAATTCAACCAAACGAAGAACACCAAAATATGACCCTGTTTTGCACAAGCATGAGCTAACAAAAGCAAGCTTTAGAAAAGCACTGCGCAAAGTTGCTCATAGCTCCTGTGCCAAGTCTTGAGACAAACCCCACTCTTGTCGAAGCCAAGAACTTGTAGCCCCAATGCAAAAGTATAGTCGGAGGCAGCCAGAATAACAGACGCCTTCCGCTGCTCCTTTGTCAGTGCCACAAAGGTTGAAAGGTTGCGAGTCGCGAGCGCTCTGCAAGCTGCTTCTCTTCTGCCATTCCCATTCCCACCGTTACCAATGGGAAAGGCGATGTTGGCTTCATCAACGATCATGACTGGAACCTTCTTCGCAGCCATTGTTGCCGCAACAAAAGCGTTGATGAACTCCTCGGGTGTGTTGATGTTGAGAAACGAAGAGAGAGTAGTTTCCACTGCACTTACTGGGGCTCGGTAAGCCGGGAAAACGCGTCCAGAAGGCCCCGATCCACTCAACCACGCTGAAACCCAACGCCGCCAAAAACTTTTTTGTTTTCGGCCCTTCGCGAACCCCCGCGTGAGCGGCCGGTGCCCTCGGAAGCGGAACGCCCGGGTTCAAACCCCCAGCCTTGGCAAGCTTCCCGTCTTTCCAGTAATGTGCTTGTTTGTGTGTCTTGTGCGCGCGGCGAGAAAACGGTGGCTGCTTAAATGAAGAGGGGTATGCTCTAACAACATCAGCCTTTTAGATTTGCGTGTGAGGGTTTTCCGTCGAAGCAACAGGCTGCCACGAGAGGCTTAGCTTGCCAGTGGGACGATCTTGCTTAAAATGAAGGGGCGAGATCTTAATTTCAAACCAAGGTCGTTAATTCAGGGTGATGTCGGCGACGTCGTTATAATTTGCCTAGATTTTGTTTGATTTTCATTTTTTCCCAAGATTAGCTTCCGTTCATAACCCAGATTTGTTCTTGTTAGTCTGACTTGAGCACCATGACTGTCCGCTCTGGTTCAACGGCCAAATGATTTTACCTCCGCTCTGGTTCAACGGCCCTTTGTTACTAGTAGCTTCTAGTTACTACTAGTAAGGCACTTGTTGCTAGTAGCGATGCCCTTTGTTGCTAGTAGCTTCCAGTTACTACTAGTAAGGCACTTGTTACTAGTAGCGATGCCACAAAGGTATAAGTTATGGGCATCAACAATGTTTAGATTTCGCGTCAGCACTTTTTGTTTGCATGGCTTACGTGGCACCAACACCTGGCACAAACGAGGGGCATGTGACATTTGCCTTGTGCTCGGTTACAACGAGGCATTGGCTGCATAATTGACCGTTGTTTTTGTGAAAAAAAGTTTCCATGTGTGAGGGGCGCGGAGAATTTGCATTCTTCAGTTGTCGCGGAAACCCCAAAAGAAAAAAGCAGGGGATCATCGCAAGTCCAAACACCCATGTAATAACATCATACACCTTCATTTCAAAACCTATAAACCCCAAGCACCGCCAAATCCGGCGAAATCATGAACATTCCGTTCCTGAGGCCGCGGCCAACACACAAACGCCGCCGGCAGCAGCACACGGTTGCGCCGCACCATCATTGGACCGAAAGCGCGAACAAAAAAGAATTATGCACAAAACCATGTACTGCATAACGTCAAACAATCAACATGAAAAGAAAATGTGGTGCGTATTTATTAAGAAACCATGCGCATACACGCCGCCTTTCACACCAATGCTCCCAGGTGATTCTTCATACCAACTTGTTCACACGCAGGCAAGCGTGCAAGCCGACTCGATGGAACTGCAGAGCGAGAAGCAAAACACACACCCCAAAAAAGACAACTGTTCCTTCTCTGGATTGTAAGGAACCTGATGCAACCCCACAAAGCGGACAAAAACCACAGCTACTTCACTGGCGTTGAGCAGGGCAGGACAGCTGATGCGCTGCTGTGTTTGGGCGCGCGAAGCAATCTGCCAAGTGGATACATAGAATCCACTGTATGCGCAAGGTCGCGCAGGACATGTCTTCAGGGAATCTGTCATCTTCGGGCGGGAATCCGTCTTCGGAGCTGGGGGCGTCTTCGGGGAATCCGTCTTCGCTAGGCGTCTGTAAGCAGAAAGTCTAGAGATCTAGACGCATTGGGGCGCAGAGAGGTGATGGTGGTGATGAAGTGAAGGTGGGTGTGAGTGAGTGTGGGTGAGAGGGAGTGTGAGTGAGAGTGGGAGAGTGAGAGTGAGAGTGAGTGTGAGTGTAAGTGACCGTGAGTGAGAGTGAAGGTGGGTGTTAGTGAGTGTGGGTGAGAGTGAGAGTGAGTGAGAGTGAAGGTGGGTGCGAGTGAGTGTGGGTGAGAGTGAGAGTGAGTGAGTGTGAGTGCTAGAGTGAGAGTGAGTGTGGGTGAGTTGAGTGTGAGTGCGAATGTGAGTGAGAGCGGGTGAGAGTCTGCGAGTGGGAGACTGAGTGGGTGTGAGTGCGAGTGTGGATGAGAGTGAGAGTGGGAGTGTGAGGGAGTGTGAGTGTGAGTGAAAGTGGGAGAGTGAGAGCGGGAGAGTCAGCATCTGAGAGCACAAAGCACTACGCCTGCCACGAAATCTGCACTTCGAGGTTCACCAAGCGCTATGCCTGCCACGAAATCTGCACTTCGAGGTTCGCCAAGCGCTGTACCTGCCACAAAATGTGCACTTCGAGGTTCACCAAGTGCTGTGCCTGCCACGAAATCTGCACTTCGAGGTTCACAAAGTGCTGTGCCTGCCACGAAATCTGCACATCGAGGTTCACCAAGTGCTGTGCCTGCCACGAAATCTACACTTCGAGGTTCACGACCTGCCACGAAATGTGCACTTCGAGGTTCACCAAGTGCTGTGCCTGCCACGAAATCTGCACAAACGAGCCACAAATATCCAAAAGTCACGATTCACTGCACCTGTCACGAAATCTGAGCTCCTCGACGATCACCACCATGTCCAAAGTGCTGCGCCTGCCACGAAAACTGCATTTCAAAGTAAAACAGCTCCGATCCCTTGCACCTGCCACGAAAAGTCGATTTTGGAGCAAAGCACGAGGTTTCCCTTGCCCCTGCCACGAAAAGTACCAAAATGCGCACGGCACCACAACCAGAGAGCAGTCGCGACAAGCACACGCTCCAGCCACCCAGATTCTGCAAGCCTGCGCATTCGAAGTGCACATTGACGATGTCGAGAGGCATGAATGTACTGTAAATAGCAACGAATTAGCCGCACACGCCCGACGCACAGCGATCTAAGCACACCTTCTTTTCACCTTACCGTAAGAACCCCTCAGTGTGCCCACACTGTTTGGTGAAAAAACAATATTCAAACAGTCTTGGCTAGGACCCCCCCCTCCAGAGAGTCTGGACGTATTGTTTTTGTTGTTATTTTAGTTTTTCGGGTCGTTTGTATTCTTTGTTTTTCGATGTTGTTGGCTCCCCTCTTAAAAATGATTCATTCCTTCCGTATGTCATTTTCCATTTTATGAATCCCTTTCAACCTGCAATTTGTAGAATGTCCTTAAATTTTCCAACAAAAATGAGTTGTTTCCTGTTATGTTCCTTTAAAAAATTATCTATTCCTTTCATTCATCCTTTGCAGATGATTAATTCCTTTCATTTTCCCTTTAAACTCCAGGCCTATTGCTAAGGAAAAGAACGAGAAAAACTGCACTCCCAGGAGCTGCCGTTCTGAAAAAATTCACCTCCCATTTCAAGTGTTCAAAACACTTCGCTGCATGTTTCATGGCCGTTTCGGATCTGCCTTGAACCTGGATCCTTTTTCCGTCTTTTTCGACACATCACCTTCGACGCTTTGCACCGCAGCGAGACCCGAGAGTTGTCGCAGGAAGGGCGGGATGAGGGCAACGAGATCCTCTTGCTGCAAGCGAAAGAAGTCCGTGTCAGCCTTCAAGTCCTCTGTCTCTGTGTAGTTGGAGCCGACCAAAGCAAGGCAGGCCACAAGCAAGGAGTCACTAGCAAAGCGGATGTCCTTCGCTGCTTGTAGCAAGGCTGCCTTTTGTTCATTCTGGGCTTTGGCCTCAGTCAGTGTATTGGATTTCACCTGAACAGCCACAAAGCTGTTCTGATCTTGGCAGAAGATTACAAAATCAACTGCCTTGCAGTTGGGCGGAGCCATGATCACTAAGAAGGGTTGCTCCTTGCCCTTCTGTTTGCTCAATTCCACGGCTTTCCCCAAAAACGACAACTTCTCATCCGCATCCTCCCTGCCATTCATGGCAAGTTCTTCATCCTGCAAGAGTGAATCATCAAGGCCGATGTCGCAAATACTGCGTGCTGTACCCTGTGTGAGAAGTGGTGGCAGCTTCTTGTACTTCTTCACAATCGCAAACATGGCAGCAAAAGCCGCCACGACCTCAGTGAAGTACGAGCTGGCTTGTTTCATGGTCTGCACGTTGCTGCTCTCAATGGCATCGACTTTGTTTTTGTACTTGTGCCACACCGAAGTGAATACACTGGCTGCATGCCACGGAGCAACAGTTGGCAGGTAGACTTGCATTCTCCCCTTCGTAACTGGGTCTATTAGCACACTCCCTTTGTATATAGCTTCAGGCATCAGGTCCACAAGTTCACGCAAAGACTGGAAAGGACAATCTGGTCGCTCCCATGTCTCTAATAAAGTTTCCAGCTCCTCCTTGGAAAACATTCGGGGCGAGGGACCAACGTCTCTAAGGCGCTCTGTGGCCCAAGAGACAACTCCAGCTTTACGACTTTCGGCGTTGCTGAAATGTGTTCAGCTATCTTCTCAATGGCTCGTGCGTAGCCCGTAGCTCCCCAGGCAAGAGAAATTCGGTGCAGGATTTCCCTCGTCGTTCCTTCTCCGTTCTGCAGTTTGCTGAGCTTTTCGGAAAAAAGGCCGAAGGCATCAGCACCCAGCGGTGCCAACGTGTACATGTAGACCTGTCGATTGCCAACATCTCCGCAGCTGCTGCGTAGTTGCTGAGAGCAGACATGACCACAAAGACTTGGCCTCCCCAAAGGTCCATGGCTCTGCAAAGCTCCTGGCGCACCAAAGCTTCGTCCTTCGACTTCCCCACCTTGTCAACTAGGATCACAACGGGCCGGTCACCGTACCATCTGCGCAGGATTTTCACAGCGTCAATCGAGTTGATCTTGAGAGAAGTCTCCCATCTGAAGTAATCTAAGAAGTCGCTCCACTCGCACGTTGTCGCTCATGTGCCTTGCTGCACCGTAAAGTACTCGCAGCGCCAAGTCAGTCTTCAGATTCTCAATGTAATGTTTGTTCATTCGAGAGTTGTAGGTGAAAGCCGAGTAGTTCTTTCGGTGTCTGGTTTCTACCATCCAGGTCGTACAGCATCGGAATCTCCTCTCCTGCTCCAGGTGCCTGTGCCACCAAGATGGCTGGGGAGTGAGCCTTGTCTGAGTTTCTTCTGCCAAACAATCTGCTTGATCTGTCCAGCAACTTCTTCACGATAAGTTGCACCTCCTGTTCACGATCTAGAAACCATGCCTTCAAGTTTTTGTTTTGCAGGGCCAGTATTCCGTTGAACGGACCCAAGTCCAACTCGACAATGTATGAAGAAGCTGAAGAATACGTGGCATTTCTGTCATTCAGCGGCACATCGGGAAAAAGCCGCCTTCCAAGAAGCTCTGCCGCTTCAGTGAGACGAGAGAAGACTGGCAAGCCTGGCACCTGGAGCAAGAGACAGAACATCTGACAGTCCCGTGTTTGTGTTAATGGTACTTTCAGTGTACTAATCCTTTTGTTTACCTTCCTTGTGGCTTGGGATTCAATTCATCTTTTGGAGGCATACTGAAGGTATTCACTGAAGACACACACAGAACTTTTTGAACCAAAGAATGTGAAGACGTGAAGTAGTTTTCATCTATTCTTGCATCTTTCGGGAGAACTGTGAACACACTGAAGCTGTGCAGCAAATGGCCTTCTCCTGCTGGGTTTTCTCCTCCGCCTTTTCCACATTTTTCTTTGCCCCTTCGACCTTCTCCTCATCTCCTGATTCTCTGGCTCTTCGCAAGTCCTCCGCGGCCATGTCCAGCAGGCCCAAAGCACGTTTCAGCTGATGTTGTGCCAAAGTCAAAGCATCAACCTGTCACAAGTGCTCATAACGAGCCAGTTCTTGCGGAACAAACACTAAGATGAAGACAAACCGGAAAATGAGGACATTACGGGGGTGAAGACTAAGTAGAACGTCTCTTCAATTGGACTGAATGCACTTCTCCTCATCTGCGGTCCGAGCAGCCTGTTGCAAAAAGACATACTTCAAATGATTGTTCGTTTTCTGCAAACTAGCAAATATGTTCTTCTTGTGTATCTTTCGGTTTCTGTGTGAAGAAACAAAACTGGACGCTAGACATGACAAATCTGGAGAAGACACGTCACATGTGACATGTCGCAGGGAATCTTTGAAGTGAAGCAAAAACAAAGTTGTTATTTGTGTTAAAACATCGGTTTCAGCTTTGAACATAATACGTGTGTGTGGGGACAAGAAAGCATGACTATTGTTTCACACCAACATTTCGAGCCCTTGCTTCCGTGAGGTCTTAGGTCTCAAACAAGAACATTTGGTTCAGAAGGCTAGCTAGCTATTTCTAGTGGTTTTTGGTGGCGAGGACTTTGCTCACAATTTGAAACCTGAGAACTTGGAACCCAAAACACACGTCTCTCTATATGTCTCTCTATATGTCTCTATCTGTTTCTCGTTTTCCTTTCAACGTGTTAACCCCTCTTTTCCTTCTACTGTGTCTTCGTCCTCATTCCCAGGCCTCTTTCTGCAAAGCACCGGAGTTGCTGCGCTTGCCATGCCAAATCTTTTCAGGTTGCTAATAGCTACTAGGGTGGAGGAAAAACAGTCTGTTCAGGTTGCTATTTTGTTTGAGGCCATCCTTATTGGGTTGAAAAAACGTTATTTTCAGGTTGCAAACATGTCGGTGACCTGGACAAGAGCCAATGTCTTGGATCCGCGCGTCTTCGGGACATCCTTGCAGCTTTGTGCTTGTCCTTCTCAATTCAGCTCCTCTACCCACATCCGGCACAAATCAACAGGATCATCAGGACGTTCGATGGTGGGTTGGGTTGGTGGTTTGGTACTTCTTGAAGAACAGCCCTGAACTTGAAAACTGCTTCTGGAAAGTGAACAAGTACTCTCAAAGCAGTGAAAGCCTCGCATTTGAATGACTTGCTCACAACACAATGCAATGGGATTCATTATTTGGGACAGCAATGTACCGCGGCAGCCGGCAGCACACGCAATAGGGGCCCAGTCAAGTGCAGGAGACGCTAGCGCTACGAGCGGATCCTCGGACGATTCCAACCTGCCAAGGGATGGCCTCCACCCTACTTGCGATGGCCTCCAACCTAGAAGCAATGGCCTCCACGATCAATGGAAGATTGCGTATCTGCTTTCTGCCAGAAACACTCGACCCGCAAGGTCAACATTCCTTTCAACTCATCAACCAAAAGCACTGTCAAAGCAATGCAAAAGCTGAGTAGAGCGCAACTTCCGTCTTCAAGCCATACTCTACACATCCAACTCTAGAGATGGCCATAGATGGCCCACATCACATCTCCCCCGTCCACCGCGCGCGCTTCGCTGGCGGGCGGCGTTGGCGTTGGCAAACCTTCGCCTTCGCCCTCCGGAGGTGAGTCTGAGAGGACCAGGACCACTCCACTTGGCAATGACCTGACCGCACTCCACCGAAGCCAGGTGTGGACAACCAATCGGACACCGGAACATTCACCAGAGAACCATTTCAAGAATGAAGAACGAGACCAACTTCTGCTTTTTTTACCTTCTAAAACCGCTAAGTGTGCAGCAGAGGCCCATTCTGCAGATCTGGGATTCCTCTGGATCGCCTGTACACAGCGTATGCGGTTTCACGAGACGTTCGGTCGGCGTCCAAGACACTGTCAACGTCGGCCTGGCTCGGCAAAAGCGGACATGTCGTCTCCAGATGTTCGAAATCGTCCTGGATTTCCATGGCCTTTCCGTCCTCTGGCCTGAAGAGAACAGCGAGAACATGTCTGAAACCAGCGCACGTCTGAAGCGGCACGGAATGGACTTTCAGGACCCCATGTTTAACTCCTTAAAGGAGCGTTCTTGCACATTCCCGAACAACTCACGGCTTTTAAGAGATTCCCAACGTCCAAAGCGGAATCCAATTGCCGGTGGTTTCACCAGGTGTTGCAACAAGTCGTGTTGGAACACGAGGTGTCCACCGTGGTTTCACCGTGGTTCCATCGTGGTTCACATGTTGCTTCCAAAAGCTCTTGCAGCGTTCGGACGCTATGCTCGGCTGCTAGCCATCGCAAGTAGGTTGGAGGTCATCGCTACTAGTAACTAGTAACAAGAAGCTACTAGTAGCAAGGACCCTACTAGGGGCTCCTGGCCTTACTACTAGGAGCAAGGACGATACTAGGAGCAAAGGGCATCTCTACTAGTAACAAGAAGCTACGAACGTAGCGATGGTCTCCCACACTTTTCAGTATGGATGGACGACAGATGGATTCCTCGCCTCAGGGGCCTCAAAGGCAGTTTATGAAGTCTCTGAAGCCTCCGAGTGTGGAGTCTCAAGCGCTGATCCACCTGCGATCAGAAAGGGATGGTGACCATGAACGAATAGGCTTCTGATCCGTCCCTGATCTGAATGTCATATACTTCATGTCACGTGAGCAGAATCTGCAGCAGATTCCCCAAGACTCGACGGTTCTGAGACTCAAGTCAGGCGAAGGCTTTTGAAGAGACGAGAGCGCAAAAAGCAGCACGGACAACAAGAAACGTAGCACAGCCCGTTCGTCAGTGCTGTTTTTTTCGTCTACCTTAGGATGTCTCTGAGCTTGTGCTGCAAAGCCAACCGAAGTGTTGGACCAAAGCCTTTCCTGGCACAGCTTGCGTGTTGGACAGAACGATCACACAAGTGCTGGACAATTGAAAAGCCTGAAATGGTTCTTCCTGGTTCTTTTCTTTCTTTAGACCTCTACTTATTGTCCTTTCGTATTGATTCAATGTATTGTGAATCTTCTGTTTCCATTTTTGCATGGTCCTTTGATACAATTCTGATGCTTGAAGCCTCAAAAATGCGTTAAGGCCGCGCTTCAGAACTGGAAAAGCTACAAATCCCAGGCGCCGCCAAGGCCGCGCTTCGGGGCCAGGCACGGCAGGCGAGGTTGCTGAAGTCCATCCGCTCACTCCACAGAGCAGCCTCGCCACCCAGCAGCCTGTGTGATCCAAACGACCAAAGCGAGTGAAGGCGGTGGCCAGTAGCGACCAGTAGCAACTTGTAGCAATTAGTGACATGGCCTGGGGCCACGTAAGGCCTTGTGTGTTTCTGAACCTGTTGGCTTCTTCGTTGAACCCTCAGATGAGCCTCAGGCTCCAAAAAAAATAGTCTTCCAAACTGTTGCTCAACAAATCGATGATTCTGCAGCCCTTTCAGGCTGCGCATGGTCGTGAATGTGGCCGAGAAGGACTAAAATACATGGTCTAGCTTTTTTGCATATTGACCATTGGAATATTGGGATCATTCAAGCGTTTGTCGTTCTTGTACGATATCTTTTAGGAAAAGCAAAGCATCAATGGACTTTCCTTGAAGAAACGTTTTCAGAATTGGCCAACCTCTTGCTGGGCTCATTTTGTAGTGGTCCCTCATCAGCGGCGTGCTCGTAGAAATCCATCCATCTCAGAACAATGAGTCTTTTAGGTGAAGTCAGAAGTCAGCTTCATGAGCATTAGGTTGGAGGCATTTGGAGGCCCATCGCTTTTAGGTTGGAGGCTATCGCTCTTAGGGGGAGCTTATCTCTTTTTCTTGATCGTTTTTGCTTCAAGTGATTCAAGTATTTTCTTTCTGCCTTTAAGCACTGAGTTTTGTACTCAGAAGACCAATCCAAATACCAACAGCTGCTTTGCACCACAGAAAGGTTCTTCTTCACAGCCACGAAGGCTGAGGCATGTCCCAGCATGGCTGGTGGCGCCTGCGACACGTTTGACACTGATGTATACAGTCATCTACACTCGCTGCATGGGGCAATGCTTGAACCTACTTCATTCATTCCGTGTTGCAACCCCACTTCAATCGAACCTTCCACTCATCTCTTCTCCTCCCCCCTCCTTCCCCTTCTCCCCCCTTCTTCCCTTGAGCGCCAAACTACTCAAAACTTGTTTCCATCAAGGATCGTTGCTTGGATTGTTTCGAAACAAATCACCTGAGGTATGTAGAGGAAATCAAGGAGCTCAGCAAACTGCAGAACCCTGCCGTTTCTCTTGCGTCACAATGCGAGCCTTGGGCTGGAATCGAAGGCTGACGTTTCCCCAGCACCTCCAGCGGGAACACCAACAAAAACCTTGTCCGACGGCGGCCATGTGACATCGTCTAAGGGTCCAACTTCCATGGCTGCACAACAGCCTCAGATGAACAAAGAACACCGGTCTAACGAGCAACTTTCTGTAGGACCGGTGGAAAGGGTCTGTGGTTCGCCAAAGCGGCTCCAATGGGAAGCCGTAAACCTTGATCAAAGGAATCCTCCCAAATCACCGGGCGCTTCCCATGCTTTTGCACCTGAGCGGCTCAAAGTGGTGAGATCCGTTTCCGCATTGTTCTTTTAATTCAACTCCATTAGAACCATGAAATGTAACTATTACGTTAACTGATATATTGCCCGTTTAATCTTCTCATTGTTGTTGAAAAACGATGTCAGTTCTTCGACCTTCGGACCTCTCTTCTCTTCTCTTCCGCTTCTTGTGGACAGAGCGATGGCTGATCCCGAAGCGGCCTCTGCCCAGATCTCGTCGAAGAAATCCTGCAAGGCCTCCAGAGGTCCGAAACCTCCGGTCGACTTTGGACGAGGAGACGGGCTCGGACGGGTCGAAAAGGGTCGTGGAATCGTACATAAACCATTGTCTTAAAAGGGCTAAAGCATGCATAGTAGCAACCATCAAGCGAAAGAAAAGAAGTCTGAAGAAAATGAAAAAGGCAAACGGAAAAAACAAAGAAAAAACAAGAACAATCCAAGACGGCAGGAGTGCAGCCTTAGAGT